AATCAGGTCAGAAACTCCCCGTGTGTGTGAGATCATCAGGTCTGAGTTCCTCCTACCGTTCTGGGCCTCGATGACGGCCGGCTCCACCTGATCCAGATCCTGCTTCACCCGCAGCTGCTTGTCTTTAATCACTTCCTGCTGCTTGTAAACCGCTTCCTGTATCTCCTGGCTCATGACCTGTAGACCAGACGGCGGTTAGCATTGCTCGCGCAGATGAAGTGTAGTGTAGCCTAGCCTAGCGTATCGTAGCACTTGCCTTCTTCTTCTCAGCCTCCTGCTGGTCCTTCACCATCTTCTTCAGCTTGTCGTTAGCGGCGGCGTTCTTCACCTCCAGCTCCTGACTCTTGATGCGCAGGTCACGCCGCAGCTCCTCCACCTGCAGCACACATACACCAGCATGAGTGTGTGTGAGAGAGTGTGTGTATGTGTGCGCGTGTCTGCATGCATGATGGCGTGTGTTATAGTGTCTGAATGACTTAATGACATTAATTTTATAAGACACAACACTTAGATATGCGGATATTCATATGGTGGCAAAGACTGCAACAACCAGACGGTAATGACGAGACGTTAATAACCAGACGATAATGACGAGACGTTAATAACCAGACGTTAATAACCAGACGATAATGACGGGACGTTAACGACCAGACAATAGTGACGAGACACTAATAACCAGACGATAATGACGAGACGTTAATAACCAGACGATAATGACGAGACGTTAATAACCAGACGTTAATAACCAGACGATAATGACGAGACACTAATAACCAGACGATAATGACGAGACGTTAATAACCAGACGATAATGACGAGACGTTAATAACCAGACGATAATGACGAGACGTTAATAACCAGACGATAATGACGAGACACTAATAACCAGACGATAATGACGAGACGTTAATAACCAGACGATAATGACGAGACGTTAATAACCAGACGATGACGAGACACTAATAACCAGACGGTAATGACGAGACACTAATAACCAGACGGTAATGACCAGACACTAATAACCAGAGGGTGATGACGATATGTTAATAACCAGACAGTAATGACGAGACGTTAATAACCAGACGATAATGACGAGACGTTAATAACCAGACGATAATGACGAGACATTAATAACCAGACGATAATGACGAGACACTAATAACCAGACGGTAATGACGGGACGTTAATAACCAGACGGTAATGACGGGACGTTAATAACCAGACAATAATGACGGGACGTTAATAACCAGACAATAATGACGTGACGTTAATAACCAGACAATAATGACGAGACGTTAATAACCAGACAATAATGACGGGACGTTAATATCCAGACGATAATGACGAGACGTTAATAACCAGACGATAATGACAGGACGTTAATAACCAGACGATAATGACAGGACGTTAATAACCAGACGATAATGACGAGACGTTAATAACCAGACGATAATGACGAGACGTTAATAACCAGACGATAATGACAGGACGTTAATAACCAGACGATAATGACAAGACGTTAATAACCAGACGATAATGACGAGACGTTAATAACCAGACGATAATGACGAGACATTAATAACCAGACGATAATGACGAGACATTAATAACCAGACGGTAATGACGGGACGTTAATAACCAGACAATAATGACGAGACGTTAATAACCAGACGATAATGACGGGACATTAACAACCAGACAATAATGACGAGACGTTAATAACCAGACGGTAATGACGAGACGTTAATAACCAGACGATAATGACGAGACGTTAATAACCAGACGATAATGACGAGACGTTAATAACCAGACGATAATGACGGGACGTTAATAACCAGACGATAATGACGTGACGTTAATAACCAGACGATAATGACGAGACGTTAATAACCAGACGGTAATGACGAGACGTTAATAACCAGACGATAATGACGAGACGTTAATAACCAGACGATAATGACGGGACGTTAACAACCAGACAATAATGACGTGACGTTAATAGCCAGGCGATAATGACGGGACGTTAATAACCAGACGATAATGATGAGACGTTAATAACCAGACGATAATGACGAGACACTAATAACCAGACGGTAATGACGGGACGTTAATAACCAGACAATAATGACGAGACGTTAATAACCAGACGGTAATGACGGGACGTTAATAACCAGGCGATAATGACGAGATGTTAATAACCAGACGATAATGACGGGACGTTAATAACCAGACAATAATGACGAGACGTTAATAACCAGACGATAATGACGGGACATTAACAACCAGACAATAATGACGAGACGTTAATAACCAGACGATAATGACAGGACGTTAATAACCAGACGATAATGACAGGACGTTAATAACCAGACGATAATGACGAGACGTTAATAACCAGACGATAATGACGAGACGTTAATAACCAGACGGTAATGACGAGACGTTAATAACCAGACGGTAATGACGAGACGTTAATAACCAGACGATAATGACGGGACGTTAACAAC